TTATACCTAGAATATAATAGAGAATAATAAGTTTTAGTATATAATAACTAAATACTTTTTAAAAAAAATAAAATTAAGTTTTTAGTAAAAACTCTAGAACCTAAGTAATTGTGTAGCTTTAGCTAGCTAGTAATAACTACTTCTTAACTTTAATTATATCTATATAATAACCTATTACTTTCTAGAACTAAGATTTAATTCTAATTATCTCTAAATTTAATCTTAAGAATCTCTAGATTCAGTCTAAATATATAAATTAAATCTTTTTTCTTAGAATACTTATATAATAACTACTACGTATAAAGATATAGTAGTGTTACTACTTTATAGCTAAGATCTTTTACTAATAGCTTTCTAGACTATTAACTAAAATTAGTACTTACACTATATATTTATAGAAAAGTAGAGAAAGATTTAGTAAGTTTACTATAGGTTTTTAATATATAAACTAAATTAAATAGTTTTCTTTTTATCTAGTATAGGTTTATAAAGATATATTAGCATTAAAAGACTTTTATAAGGTAGATAAATAATAGAGTATATTTATATACTTTAAATATACTCTATTACTAGTATACTTTTCTAGTCTCTAGTAGTATATATTCTTAGAGTAGTTATAAAGAATAAGTCTATATAATATAGCTTAGTATCTTTAAATCTACTATATAAGTAAAAGAAGGCTAGAACTTAGTCTCTAGAAATAAATAATAGATAAGTACTTTAAGTATTCTTTTTACTAGTAAGAAGATTTCTAAAAGTTAGATAAATACAAAAGAAGTTCTAAAGGCTTTCTAGAATTAAAAACAAATAAAAAGGTTAAACTTATAGATATATAAAGCTAATTATTAAAGAACTTTTAAGTAAATAAAGTAGTATTATATAGTAGTTTATTAGTCTAGGTTTAAGATATTAAAATGTCTATAGAAAGAGAAATATATTTTAGAAAGAATAATTATAGTTAAGTTATATACGTGTATAGATACTAGTATCTTAGATATAATATAGAACTATTAATCTTTTAATTACGCTTCTTTTCTATTTGTATTTACTTTGTCTTATATATTTTCTAGACTTACTCTAATATCTATCTTTATAAAGTAGATTTTTATCTACTATAATCTATTAGTAAGCTAATAATTCTATAGCCTATAAGCTAGCTCTAGAGAGGTAGAATCTATTACTAGTATACTTAAAATAGTATAACTAAAGATTCTATCTACTTTAAGAGGTATAATATAACAGAAGCTAAAGCTTAGAGTTTAGTATAGCTATCTTAAAAAATAGTTAAGTCTTCTCTATATATACTAGCTATAGAGCTATCTTAGTACTAAGGTATTTTAGAAGCGTAGATAGACTTAAGATACTTTTAGAGTATAAGACTATAATTATATATACTTCTTAGCTTATAACTAGCTTAGAAACATCTTTTATAGCTTTATAGTAACGAATTTTTAATACTTAAATATTAGTAAAAGTTTATCTTTACTACCTTTTCTAGTTATATTATTAGAACTTTAAAATATTACTAACTTATTTAATATATAGTAATAATATCTTATTAGTCTTATAGATAATAATAAGTTATTATAGAAGTTATCTCTTACTAGTTATATTATTTCTTTATCTTACTAAAAATCTCTATAAAGTTAATTTATTATTACTAAATTAATTATTAGCTATAAAATAATATTTCTACTACGTACTAAAGCTTCTATAAGCTACACTATACTAGGTTAAAAACAGAGTCTTAATAAGGCTAAATTTAAGTTATTCTTAGTAACTAGAGTATTTAATCTCTACTTTCTAGTTTAAGTAGAAACAAATTCTCTATATATATTTAGTTAATATAGCTTAAGAGCTTTTAAGTCTACTAAAGCTATATAGTATTATAAGTATCTACTATCTTAAGTAGCTACTTAGCTAGCACTTTTCTACTATACTTATACTAATATTTACCTTCTATGTACTTAATTTATATACTATCTTATATACTATTTTATATATTAATTCTAAAATAAACTTTACGTATTTTATTATATTATATATAAAATAATATATTAAATTAAGTTCTATACCTAACTACCTTTTAAAAATACTATTATTAGTAATATTATAATATAATTACTATTAGTATAATATCTTAATTTCTAAGTAATATTAAAATAAGTCTTAATATAATCTTATAGCTCTAGCCTTTATTAAAATCTAGCTTAAGCGCTTTTTAGCTTCTTACTTTATCTAATATAAAGTACTACTAAGCTAGCTATACTACTAAGCTAGCTACTTTTTCTTAGTATTGTAAATACTATATATAAAATATAAAATTACTCTATATTCTCTATAGATTCTTTATATAACGTAGCTATATTAAATTTAAAATCTTTTTTAATATCTTTCTAATATATATAAGCGTTATATTTAGTCTCTTTATAATTACTAGAGTATTATTAAGCTAACTAAGTTTTTTTTTAACTACTTTTACTACTATCTTTCTTAAACTTTATATAAGTAGTAAAAGTACTTTTAGCTACTTATAATACTTTTATACTAAACTTTAGTATACTATTAATTAAAATTTACTTATTTTTATACTTTTTATACTTTATTAACTTTACTACTTACTTTTTAAGCTTTTATATATAGGCTTTAATAAAAAAATAGATTTATTTAATTACTTTATTATAGTCTATAAGTATAGAGTAAAGTACTTATTATTACTTAAAATATAAGATTATAATAAAATAGTAATATACTCTAATAAGTAAAGCTTAAGACTTAAAAAAAAAAAAAAAAAAATAAGCTTTAATAAAAACATTTTTACATAGTATTTTTTTAGCTTCTTTAATAAGCTTTAAGAAGCTTTTTTAAGTACTTATTAGAGATTATATAAAGACTTCTTTTACTAGCTTTAATTATAACTTAAATTTATATATATTACTTAGTATTTTTAACTACTAAAGTATTTTTAGTAAAGTAACTAGTAGTAGTATATAAAAGTAAACTTTAAGATAATTAAAAACTCTCTATATATTAATAGAAACTAGCTTTACTACTTTAAAGGCTTTCTTATAGTTCTTATATATAAATATAGTAAAAAATATATTTTTAAAAGCTAAAAAAAAGCTTTCTTTATTAATATAGTAAATATATTAGTATACTAAGTCTTATATATACTAAAAGTACTCTAGTTTTAATAGTAAGAAATATACTATATTATATAGCTAAAGTATATATAATAAATAAGTAAGTATATAGAGAGTTAAAATCTTTTATATAAAGTAGTAGTTTTTAAAATTCTAGTTAAAGTAGCTTTTATAGCTACTTAAGATAAAAAGCTTATATAACTTTACTTAATATAACTTTATATACTTATTAAAGTACTTTAACTACTTAAAGCTAAGCTAATTATTTTTTTAGCTATTCTCTAATATAATAAGCTTCTAGTTATATAGTATTAAAGTTTTCTTATACTATACTAAGATATAAATATATTTTTTATAAATAATAAAAAGTAGAGTTATATACTTTATAGCGTAAATACTTTAAATAACTATAACTTACTTATAATTACTTAGCTAGATTAAGTTTAGTTTTATATAATACTTTAAGCTTATAACTACTTTTATTAAGCTAATAATACTTATCTAGAAGCTTATTTTATTAAAGTTATAAATATTAGTATTAAAAACTCTATACTTAGCTTTTATCTTTTATATAAGCTTAAACTAAATACTAATAACTTTTAGATCTTTTTAAAGTATTCTTTAGTAATTTTTTACTTAGTTAAAAACTATTTTAAGCTTCTTTATATACTAAATAAAGTACTCTACTTAGTTTTTACTAATAAGTATATTACTATATATAGCTAGTAGATTATTTATAATATCTACTACTTTATAAAACTAAAAAGTAAATTCTTATATATCTAGCTTAAGAATATATTATATAATAGTTTTCTTTTTTATAAAAGAAAGTTTTTAATAGCTTAGTAGTACTTAAGCTTAATACTTAATTTTCTTAAGCTTATTAGAAAGCTACTAATATTATACGCTAAAAGTAGTAGTAGTATATTATAAAACTTAAAATTAACCTAAGATATAAACTATAAAAGTAAGTTTAATTTTACTTTCTTACTAATTAAATTTTATTATATATTATAATTATAGTACTATTTATATATAGTATTTATAATACTAAGAAAAAGTAGCTAGCTTAGTAGTATAGCTAGCTTAGTAGTGCTTTATATTATATATCTTAAATAATATAAAACTTATATTATTACTATAATAGCTTAGTAATCTTTGCTACTTTAGTAAAAGGTTTCTATATTTCTATAATTAATATCTTGTTTTAAGTAGCTAATATAGTACTTTATTTCTATTAAAATATAATAAGCTAAATAGTGTTATTAAATAATAAATCTTGCTAGATTTCTTTACAGAATAAGATATTTGTAGAGTAGTTACTATAATAAAGCGCTTTAAGCCTACGTACGTGTTAGAGGCATCTAAGGTCTCGTTTAAGCTAACATGCATCTACGCGACGCGGACAACTCTCTCTGCGCCCTGCAAGGCTTGGTCCGCTCGTACGCAGAACCCAGAACAGTCCTCGTAAATCAGCTCACAAGCTTAATACATCCTTTCGCTCTCGTCCGCCAAAGTTCGTTCACCCAATAACCTATCTCCGTTTGTCAAATGAAAGGTGAACCTCTCACGCCATGCTCGTACGGAGGAGGGGTGCTCTGCGCGTCAACCTGAGAGACTCAACGTACGGCGTGCTTCTCCGCGCGTTTGGACCGTAGGCTACAGCCATGTTGAAGCTGCATTGCTCGCTGCGCCCCAAAGTCTCCACCATTTGCGCTTCAACTCTACCTCGTCCGACGCGGATATAGGATGCCGCATGTGCAAACACCGTCTTTATTGTTCTATTTAATGCTTCATGTCCTCGCATCTGAGTATGGAACGCATCACGCTTAGACTTGCATCAGTTCAACTTCCACTATGCCTAACACAACCTTTAGCCCCGACGCTCTCCCTGATCTCAAGGACAAAGTGTTTATTGTTACTGGAGGAAATTCAGGCATGTACGTGTTGCAAACGCCATTAGTGAATGACCTATTCAACTAACAATACCTTCAACAGAGGCTACTACACCGTAGCCCATCTCGCAGAACATGGCGCGCACGTATACATGTGCGCTCGCAACGTAGACAAGGGCACAGAAGCAATAGCCAGAATCAAGAAGATGCACCCCTCCGCCCACATCGACCTTCTACAAATGGATCTCAAAGACCTCACCAGCGTTGTCGCAGCCGCGCAACGTTTCCTCACGCTCGAGACCGCGCTGCACGGCCTCGTCAACAACGCCGGCATCATGGCAACGCCCTTCGAGCTGACTCAAGACGGGCACGAAGCACAGTGGCAGACCAACTACCTGTCGCACTGGGTATTCACACACCACCTCCTTCCCTTGATGCTGACAACATCCAAAACGCTTCCCCCCGGAAGCGTGCGCATCGTCAATCTCACTTCGTCCGGACACTTGCAAGCGCCGAAAGGCGGGATTAACTTCGATAACCCCGCGTTGAAAGATGCGGGCGACATGGCTCGCTACGGCCAGAGTAAGCTCGCTAACATCCTGCATACCAAGTCGCTTCACAAGGCGTACGGTCCGGGGTCAGCAAGCGCCACCAACAACGAGGGGGAAATCTGGACTTCGTGTGTGCATCCGGGGCTCGTGGAGACGAATCTGCAAGAGGGTGTTAACAAATCGAATCTTGCCATGCAGGGCGTGATCACCGTCCTGCGAAAGACTGGTATGTTTTGGTCGTCGGATAGGGGCTCGTATAATAGTCTTTACTGTGTTGCGGGTGGTGAAATGAAAGCGGAGCAGAGTGGCGGGTATCTTGAGATCTTCGGGCGTTTTGGGGAGCCAACGTGCGAGAGCAAGCCTGCGAGGGATGGGAAGCTTGCGGAGCGGTTGGAAGAGTATACCAAGGAGGAGATGGAGAAGGGAGGTTGGGTTCAGTAATGATGTTGTACATTTTCTTTTTTGCTTTCAAGATATAATGGGAACTTAGATGGGCTTTGTAATACATAATAGAAGTTTGCTAGACGATATGTAGAGCGCAATCATGATGCGATAGGAATGAAACGAGAGAACAGTCGCTAAGAATGGCGTAAAGACCAAAGTGTACGAGGCGAAAGCCCGCCACAAATATGATGCTCACGAAGTCCCGGACGTACGTGTGGCTTTCACCTTTCGAGACCCAGGACCGTCATCACAGCTCTGATCTTCAACGCAGTCATCAGCTTCCTCGATCTTCTTCCGCTTCTTGCCCTCCTTATGATGAACGGCTTTATGATGCTCATTCATCTTATCCTTCCTCCCCCTAAAGCCTCTGCCTTTCTTACCACCTACTGGATTCCTGGAGCGCACGCAGCCGGACTCTGGGCAGAAGTACTCGATCGAACGACGCGCGTGTATGTTCTCGTGGTGTCGCTTGAAGTCAGCATGACGGTTGAAGGTAAGGTCGTCACCATCGTCGAGGCAGGCTTCGTTGAGACACTTGAACTTTCCCGCTAGGGTGACTTGGCCAATGATTGGATCGGTGCGGGAAGACGGAGAGTTTGATGTGCGGCGCCGACGTCTGTTTGAGCGTTGTGGGCTTGCAGGTGAGGACCGGGTAGGAGAGCAGGAGCTGGGTTGGGAATAGCTCTCCGACGCGATGTGGGGGGTTGGAGTAATGCGACTAGACAATGGTGAGTCTACAATCATCATGGGCCTTTGTCTTCATGCTTACGGTTGATCTTGAAATGGCGCATGTTCGCCAAATGGTGCTTGGAAGGTTCGAGATCTGGGCGAAAATACGGTTGAAAGTGCTGAATGCCTACGTTGCTGACGTTAGAGTCGACTCTGGAGATCGAGAACCAAAGAACTAGGTCTCCATTGTGTTCCAGACGATGAGGTACTCAGGTCGAAAACTATCAATAAATACAACGACGGTCCAAGGTGTATCATGATCACGCCAGATAGGCAGGAAGTCACCAGGTTGAGTAGGGCTCAGCTAAGATGCTGATACAGGCAGATGGCGAGGGGTTGGTTTCTCCGGCTAATATACGTCGTGGCCAGGTAAAACACGATGAAAAAGTGCGAACTAGTTGCTCAATGGGGATCCTGGTACTCTGTGGAGGAGCGGTTCAATTGTATCTCTTGTGTAAGGTTTGGAGTGATGCTGTTGGCCGAAAGGCCCTGGGAGAATCTTTTTGCGATAGTCTGAGCCTGCTCGTGTCCTTCTCTTGCCGTGATATTGGCATTGTCGTTTGTAATGAGATGGTTCGCATTGAGAATAGACGGGAAGAACTAAACAAGCTTTACCTTTAGAAATGACACATCGGGCGATGATAGTCCGGAATATAGTAAAGGCAATCGTTCCAGTCAGATTGAGTCCTCGGAGCGAACAGCTTGGGTCGTGTCCAGAGAAGCCATGTAGTGGAAGATTGAATCTCTGATGCTGTACTTGATGTGAGAGTAATGAACGTACGTCCGTCACCTGATATCTGTGTAATAAGGCTGGGAGGTGTGGTCGTTGCCAGTGCCGCATGCCGGATATCTTGATAGAGTAACGATGCTATAAACCTCGCTATGTAGGAGACCAGTCGATTCAACCGTTGCTCGACGGTAGAGGCAGGCCCTTGGAAGTACCAGAAGAGTGCGTAGATCACAGTGTAAATCTCCAGAACGGTCAGCCGAACGAGTAGTCGGGCACTCCAGTCGGAGCTCGTTGCGCAAGGTCGTTCAATGTCGAACAATGAGCAACGAGTTGCCACGATGCAAATGCGTTTGTCGCCCTTCGTTTAACAGACTGGCCCTTGCGATGTTCGAGGTTGAGGATTCCAGAATACCAATAAAGAGTCCATTCACGCGTAGGTGCTTGCAAATGGTGCAAGACGTTTCCAGGTCTGGATGTAAATGACGGTTCCATGTTCCAGGTTGGATTTCAAACAATCCTGTGGCTTGTTGATCGCAAACTGAATATTCTGAAGGAAACTTACTCGTTATCGTATCCGAAGTGACCAAAAACCTTGCTCTCATTCTCATGTTCTGGCATGCCTTCGTCGATGGCGTCGTTGATCGCATATTCGAACGGGCTCATCGCTGTCGCTGCAAAATGCTCGTATTCCATGTTTGGCGAAATGTCAGATGACCGTCGGGGACGAAAGTGCACGGAATGTGAGTTTGATCGAAACGGATAAGGCTGAGGCGCAGTGCGTTGGCTTGCTGACGTGCTTGAGATGGAGCGGGACATTGCTGACCCAGTCGGAACCAAGATGCTTCCAAATGAACCGCGGGACGCTCGCTGCAGGGATGTAGACAATGATCGCTGACCGGAAGATACTGGTGAGTATTGCGAAGCCGATCGCGACATGTCACCGTTCACCGGAACTTGTGTGTAGCCGATGGGGCTGTGTACTGTTTGGTGTATATTGGCACAAGGCTGAGCCTCAGCCTGGTGAGAGATCGAGTGTCGTGGTGTGCCGCCTATTGACGAGCAAGAGAACATCGAGTCATGTCGATGAGTTGTCGTTGGCGAAAGCAGCTGCTGGTTGTTTCGATATTGTGAAGCTGATTCGATTGTGTTCTGACCGTTGATATCGACACCAATTCCTTGACCGTTGAACAGGTCACGCATATTGCCGCCCCCACCGAAGTATGTGTTGTTGTCCATGTGAGTGGAACTGCAGGATTGATATGTTGAGAAGTTGGCACTAAGAGGTAGTGTGAGGTAGCTGTGGGTGTATCAGGAAAAGTGCTAGGCTCGGATGGACTGAGGTTGAGTATAGACTAGAATTTTGGTGGCAGCGTGCATCAATATAGCTTCAAGTGAAGCGACTAGGGCAAGCGCCCTGAACATTCCTTTTTGAAGGACCTCTGCAGCCGGCCTGCATGTAATGAGCCTCGAGGTGGCTGTTCGCACTGAGGCATACCGAATTCCAAGGCAAACTAGGCAAATGGGGCTTACGCGGGTCTTTTAGCTGTGAGGGCTGCATGCAGACTGCGACCGCAGTCGATAGGCCGATGATCGTGATTGGACACATTGATTGCGACATGCGAGTACTATCTGCACGGTGAGAAGGCTGAGGAGTTGGCATGAAATGTAAGTGGGAGAGGTATTTTGGAAGTAGCCGCACGATCACATGCAAGCAGAAAACGGCAGGCGCACCCGACCGCCTCACCTTTCGTCGAGGTCCTTCAAAAGCTAGCCATCACTCCCCAATCTGAATTGAATCAAGTTCCTGTCATCCACACCATGATGGATCGTTAATTTCTTTTGCTCATCTTTCGACTATTGGTTGACGTCTCACGCCTTCACGCTCCACACCTTGATGCTCGCATCGCCTCCCGCCGAAATGACCTTGAGACCCTTCTCCCATGCGACACCATTGACGCCATCCTTGTGAGCGTTAAGAGCCTTGATACGCTTGCCAGGGTCTTCTGTGCTCCAGACCATAACATTGGTGTCCAGACTGCCACTTGCGGCGTAGTTCTCACTCTCGTCCCATGCCAGGCAGGTAATACGTGCGGTGTGGGCACTCCATCTGTCCGTGATGACCTTCCAGTCTCCGCCTACTTCGAACGCGTAGATCTTGCCGTTTCCTGCACCCACTGCTAGCTTCCTGCCTGAGGCAGAAAAGGCGAGTGCGGAGATGGGAGCAGTTGCACGGCGGAGCACTGTATCGGTCTCCTTGAGCTCAGTGCCAGAAAGGGTGTAGATGTGTACCAGCTTGTCGTCTCCACCAACAGCAACGGTAGAGCCGTGCGCTGCGATTGAGGTAGGGGCGAATTTGACAGGTAACGAGCTGACCTGGGCCCCCTTGGAGTACACTGCGATGGCATCGGTAGAAGGGATCAGCACGGTACTCGATGTCGCGGCAACGCCCTTGGGTTGGAACTTGAGATCGTGTGCCTCGCCAGTGAAGATCTTGTCCGGAACGGACATGGAGCGTAATGTGTCGTCCCAGCCAACACTGTACAGCTCCGCCTCATTCTTGCTGTCGGAAGTCGTAATGCCGGCGACGTAGCTCGAATGCGCTGCGCCTTCGACCTTGTCAGCCAATCCAGTTGTGGTGTCCCATGCGAGGACTCGGCCGTCATAGCTTCCCGTGGCAAAAGTAGATCCAGCGATGGCAGCCGATGTAATGTTCTTTGAATGGCCCCGGATGATGCGCGTTGGCTTTGGGTTGCCGTCGACGAGGTAGTTCAAGTTTCCTTCAAGATCCACACTGACGATCAGACCATCACTGCGGCCGGTGGGCCATACCACACCGACCTGCTGGTCGGGTATGCTAGCGACGCCTTCCTCGCCCATCCTCCAGGTCTGAATGTTCTTGCCTGCTTCCGGGTCCCATATCCGGACCGTCTGGTCCGCACTGGCTGTGACGAACTTCTTTGAGTCCTTGGACCACGACACGCCGAAGATGCTGCCGGTATGTACACTCTCGCCAATCTGTCCCTTTGCCTCGCCGGTTTTGCCATCGTATAGCCATATGCGCTTGTCGGCGCCAACGCTTGCGAATACTGAACCGTCGGGCGAGAAGGCGGTGCCGAAGACGAAGCGGTTGTGCTGACCTCTCAGACTGGTGTTGAACTTGAAGGGAGCGCCGTGGTAGAAGACCAGGCTGGTATCGTCGGAGCCCGTGGCGGCGCGGAGGGGTCGTTGCTGGCGGATAGACACGCAATTGATCTGTGACGAGTGGCCTGAGATCTCGCCCACGCTGTTGCCGCTGTCTGCCGTGATGCAGTGGCCGAAGCGCTCCTTGCCGTCGCCGACAGCTATGATGCGCTGCGAGTCGCCGTCCCATGCCAAGTCGTTGATGCGGCCTGCGATGATGTGGTAGTCGCCTGCACCGCGTCAGCTCCCTCGCTCTATGTCCTGCTATGCCTCACCCACCTTTTGTAGCTCCTTCACCGGCGCAGTCCCACACCTTGACGGTACCCGAGACATCTCCACTAGCAACGTAGAACCCCGAGGGCGAGAAGCGGGCGACCGTTGTCTGAGTCGTGTGTTGGGTGTATTGTTTACTGACAGCCGGGTCGTCGATGGAGCGCAGGAAGACGGATTTGCCTGACTACATGTCCAATCAGCTCCGCGAAAGCTTCGGATAGTCGAAACACTCACGGCATAGGCAATGCGTTCGCCCTTGGGGTCCGAGGACAGCGGTGTTGCCTGTCCGCGCGTTGTCGAAGGGGACGCAGCCCAGATGGCGTCTGTTCACGGTCAGTAGCTGCTGCGAGAAGCTATCTGGGAGCTCATACCTGATACTAGAGACATTGTACGCGTAATTTAAAGGACAGTGAGGTAGCAAAGGGAATGGGTTATGGCAATTGTAGAGGATGTCTGCCTGTAGTTGGCAGCGTTGGCGGTGGCCTCTGCTTCGTCACTCGTCACCGCCTACGTTTCAGCGACCAGCCACGAGTCGCGGGGCAGGTGGGGGTGGCTCCTTCCTGACAGCTCACCTGGGGGTAGCTACTGAGCATGTTACTCCAGGTACCAGCTCTACATGTCAGCACCCATGTTCCGCGTTCCTTTTGCTGATAATCCAGACTTGCTACATGCTTCAGTCAAATCGCATTCCATCATCGAGGCCAGGTCTAGAACGAAATACCGCCGAGACCACTATGTAAATAGCTCCTTCGATCAAGGATACATCCCAGAACCACATGCGCATGCTTGCAATTCACCGCTGACTGCATGGAAATATCTGGTTGCGAATTGAAGAGGCTGGCAGACGGAACAACCTTGGAATGCCCCAGCAAACCCTTGGCGCACGTCATTTCCGCGCGTTGCAAGTCGCGTTGAGATATCTTCAAGACTGAACTGATAGACAAGCGCATCCTGCATCGACTCTTTGTCTCGCACATCGCCCATTCTGGACGCTTCTCTCTTCCATCGTTCGCTGTCGCGTCGTTCGCTGTACAACGTCATCACCCGGGAACCCGGCATCCGGTAGCCTACATCCTCAACATCATCATCACCTTTCTCATTGCGGAAGAGCAAGGACATCAAACACCATCAACATGTGTCTTATGCGATCTTACGAAACGCGCGGTCGTACCGTCATTGAGCCACCTCCCCGACGAGGAAACTACACGTCTCATACACCAGCTGGCGTGATGCGTCTGCCGCGCGAATGGCGCCGGACCTCAGTCGAGAGCTTCAGCGACGACGGCCGCTACGTCGAGTACAGGTTCGTAATAACTTCAATGGCACCATTGGTTGTCTCACACTCACATCATCCAGGCGATCGCGATCTCGTCCCCGTGCTATTGAGTACGTCGAAGAGCCTCGCATACGTGCAAGGAGCCGTGCGAGGAGTCGGGCGAGGAGTGTGTCCAGGCGACGCATCAGCGACGTTGAGATTGTCAGGCCAGCGAGGACCAGCTACATTGATCCACGTGGAAGTGGTTATGTGGACGAAAGGGTGACGAGGCGAAGTGTCAGCCGCGTGAGACATTGAGGAGTCACATCTCTGCAGACGAGAAAATGAGGTATGTGTCATCACAGAACAGAGCAAGCTCGTGCGTGCTAACACGCTCAGGTTTTGAATTGAATATGTACATATGGGATACATAGAAGTTTTGTAATTACCAACGTTTAACTTTCAACAAACCAACAATGCTTGCGGCAAGAAATGTCCCGTGTTGCGCACCAACTTCTTGAAGCCTACCCACTTTGAAGATCATCCCTTCAGGCCTAACACAACCAGCCGTCGAACAGCTCAACAGCAATCTATGATAGACATTTCGCATAGTCCCATCCGGGGATAATTATTAGTGTACATCTTAGGGCGCAAGAACCCCTGTCGCTAACCGCTTCCGAGCTGCACTCCAAGGTGGGGCGCTACATCCGGCTCATAGCTAAACTTCGTCATCAGATTCTGAGTCACGATGGGTGAACGACATACAAGTGTTTGCAACAGCGCTCATTCTTCATATTCTACCCATCATCTACACCATGGCATCCAACCCCATGCAACGATGCTGCATCGTCGGCGTAAAGCACTCAGGCACACCACAAGGCCAAATCAAACACATCGACAACAGTACACCTCCCTTCATCTCCATCCCTTAACCCTTCCCATCTAACCCACAAACAAGTCCGCACATACACCACCTACCCCCCCAACAACCCCTCCCCCTCAAACGCCATCCTCATCATGACCGACGTCCTTGGCATGGACTTCCCCAACACCCAACTCATCGCCGACCAATTCGCGCAAAACGGGTACCTAACCGTCATCCCCGACGTCTTCAACGGGAGCGAAGTGCCGTTTCCGCCTCCGGAATCGTTTGACTTGCAGGAATATATTCAGACGACGATGCCGAAGACTGATACTGTGGATCCTATGTTTGAGACGGTGATTAAGTATTTGAGAGATGAGTTGGGGATCAAGAGGTTGGGCGGTGTGGGATATTGTTTCGGCGGGAAGTACGTATGTCGGTTTTTGAAAGAAGGGGGGTTGAGGAATGGGGGGATTGACGCGGGGTTTACTGCTCATCCTAGTTTTGTGGATAAGGAGGAAGTTAGGGGGATTAGGGGGCCGTTGAGTATTGCTGCTGCAGGTATGACTTTCAATTGTAACATTCGCGTTTCATTCCTTCCATTCATTCCATTCATCAAACCTACTCCAAAAAACCAAACTGTCGAGACAAAGACATAAACAAAAAGAACGCACTAACGATACCAACAACGACTCTAGAAACCGATTCCATCTTTCCAGCCGAGAAGCGGCGCGAGACAGAAGATATCCTCAAAGACCATACCGTGCCGTACCAGATGTTCCTGTATTCGGATGTCGAGCATGGGTTCGGTGTCAAGGGTGATTTGTCGCATGCGAAGGCGAGGTTTGCGAAGGAACAGGCTTTTTTGCAGGCGGTGGGCTGGTTGGACGAGTATGTTAAGAAAGCGCCGGGAGTGTAGGGGTTTTCTCGGGGAGGTTGGTGTAGCTCGTGAGGATATCGCCCGGGTGTAGTGTGGGTATCTCGGTGGCTGAGTGTGCGTCTTGGAGGGCGGTGTCGTATTCGTGTAATGTGCATTTGAGCCTGGTGATCTCATCTGCTCTGTTGATCTGCCCTGCGCTCTCAGCCGTGTATTTCTCCAGCCAAAAGTCGCCGCTCATCTCGACATCGGTACCAGCATCCGAAAATTCGCAGTACGCCCGTACGAAGTCAACAATCGTGTCGATCGAAGCCAAAACTGCCGAGAGCACCCAGGCGCAGAAGCTGATGGCGAAGTACGTGAAGAGGAACAGAGTTATTAGAAGACAGCCCCAGAGATAGCCTGTGAGGATACTGTCGAGTACTTCGTTGGGTTGCGGCATGGGTGTCGATGGCCGGAACATGACCGCTTGGTGGGGGAAGAGAGGTGGCATGGTCGAGTGATGTGGCAGTAGGATAGGTTCGGTTGACTTGTGGGATGTAAGACTGCGAGGAGGCGTGCTGTCGACAATGTGCCGTGTGTAGCAATATGTGTGCTCGTAGTAAAGCTTGCTGATGTCAATGTACTGTCTGGAACAATATGAGTGCCTGGCAATGGAGGTCGTTGAACCTCGAGGTTAGAGGTTTGGGTCTGTTTGTGATGACAAGCGAGGTAGGATGCGGACTACAGCTGCGCTTGCGTCGTCGTCGAGAGTCGCGCCTTACGACCGGGGTCTATCCATAACAGTTCTCATGTTCAGGTGATAGATAGAAAGTGCTACCGTCGGTTCAAGAAGCATGTGCCAACATACCATCATTTAAACTCCCCTACCCATTTAAAGTACCCTCCTCAATCAAAATCCCATCTCCCATCTTAACTTTCGACGCCCACGGCGGCTCACCATCCTCATCAAACTCCGCCCACTGAAAAAACCCACAACTCTCCCGACCCGGCACATAACCCGCATGGCACATCCACATATACCGCCCCCTCGATTCCTTCTTCCTCGTCGCGCACCTCAACACAGTCGAAACACCACACTTGCATTTCGGCGTAAACCTCGGATGGAGGCTATCCTTATAGAACCGATACGTGATATTAAGCCGCTTGTTCTTCGCAAGCGGATGAGGATCGATAGCTTGGGCCGGCGCAATCGAGTGTTTCCATTCTTCTTGCATCTCAGCATGCATGACCAGGAGCGAGTTGTGTGGTAAATGAATGCTGATTTGGCCTTGGGCGTCCGCGAGAGAACCGTCGTCTTTTCGGTGCGAGTCGTCTTCGGCGACGGTCTTGCGGACCCGGAATTCGCGCGCTACTCCGAGGCTTAGACTGCCGATTACGGCTCGTGGACCGAGGTAGGTGAGTTGGTCGGCGTGGTATCCGACGCTTTCTTGTGGTCCGTCGTAGCAGTTTACGAAAGCGGTGTTGGCTTTCCAGGGGTGAGGGGATTGGTATTTGAGTTTCTTGCCGTTGGGGTAGAAGTCGCGGATTCTGTGTTGGATTTCGCGGTTGACGGCGTCTTCGACTTGGGGGCATGCGTTGAGCATTTCTGGGAGGCTTTGTCGGACATCCTGGGTGGAATTAGCATCTTGGTGGTGTTCCTTGTCAGCGGTCTTACCTCGATCTGGCCACCGTTGTAGATGTATTCCGTCTTTTGTCGTTCCGCTTCTTCTAAGCTGTTGACGTAGAAGGAGTACGTGTGTGGGCTTACAACAACTCTGTCGAACAGCTTGAACTCGTACCTGTCGTAGGTCGACGAGGCGTCCAGTAATTGTGACAGCAGTGCATCCGCTTGCTCTACCGGAAGGAAATTGTGTATGATTGAACAAGGCGTATGTGCTTCGATGTCTTCTGGGCTATAGAGAAATAGTGTCTTGCCCTTTCTCACAAGTGGCTTCTTGTTCAGGGTTCCATTCGCCGGAGCAATGCGATACGAGCTCAGTGAGGATTGATAGCCCACTGTCGATGATGCGGGTCGCTTGCGTGGGGAAGCAACTTGAGGTCGCGATAGACACTCCGAGGCTTGTTCAACGGCCCCGTCAGCAGCGAGCAATGCTTCAAGCAGAGTCCCTTCATCAACTGTAGGATGTAAAGATGCTAGCAAGGCCAACTTGAAATCAGTAGATTCTTCTTCTGGGTCTTTAGCCTCTGAAGGCCGCGTGCTCGTACTCGCCACTGACTTGGGCGGCCCCTCATCCCACTTCCTCTTGCGCGACACGAACGCGTCCATACCGACTGTGGTGGGTTAAAATGGCGCGCATAGTCGCATCAACAAAGTGAAATGGCCTCCTCGACAGTGGCGACTGGCGTAACAGCAGACGCGCTGTCACGGGACAACCGCCCGACGGCGCCACACCAGCCCCGCCAGAACCCAAAGGCGCCTCGGTCAACCGACACCTCGTCATCCGCAACCATGCTGCAGCACAACACCAACTCCACGTCCCGGCGCGACATGACGCGCCGTACCATACCTATCCTCCACGCGCCGTAATCCCAAATCCCACCCCCACCTTCACCACCCACGATGCTCGAGTTCCGCACCCAAGGCTTCAACGGCTACTCGGTCAAATACAGCCCCTTCTTCGACTCGCGCATCGCCGTCGCAACATCCGCCAACTTCGGGCTCGTCGGAAACGGACGCCTGTACATACTAGGCCTTACAGCGAATGGAATCGTAGCCGAGAAATGGTACTTCCATCACCCCTCTTCCACTTCCACCTTAACTATCACATGCTAACCCACCCGTGTCCCCAGGTTCGACACGCAAGACTCACTCTTCGACAGCACATGGTCCGAAGCGCACGAGAACCAACTCCTCACCGCCGGCGGCGACGGCTCGGTAAAACTCTTCGACATAAACGTGCCCAACTTCCCCATCGCATCCTGGCAAGAGCACGCACGCGAAGTCTTCGCCGTGCACTGGAACCTCGTGTCCAAAGACACTTTCCTATCCTCGTCCTGGGACGGCACAATCAAGATCTGGAACCCAAATTCCGAGGCGAGTATAACCACCTTACCGACGCATTCATGTACCTACAGTGCGAGTTTCAGTCCGCACAGTCCGAGCGTGCTGTCAAGTGTGAGTAGTGATAGCCATTTGAGGGTGTTCGATCTGAGGACGCCGGCGAGTGCGAGTAATCATTTGACGATGAGTGTGCCGATTCATCAGCCGCCGAAAGCGAGGATGGGACATGCGCCCGGCGTGGGTGTTGCGCCTGCGGAGGCGTTGACGCATGATTGGAATAAATATAGGGATACTATCGTTGCAACCGCAGGGGTGGATCGCGTGATACGCACTTTTGATATCAGGATGCCGCAGCAGGGGCCTGTTGCTGTTTTACCAGGACACGAGTATGCGGTTCGGAAGTTGAGTTGGAGTCCGCATTTGAGCGATATACTGCTTAGTGCGAGTTACGATATGACGTGTCGGGTGTGGACAGATGGGAGTGCCATGGGTGTGGGGAGTGTGAAGCAGGAGAACATGCTGGAGGATCCCATGTTTTATGGCGGGGGTAGGGAGATGGGGAGGATGGGGAGGCATACCGAGTTCGTTACGGGTGTCGATTGGTGTTTGTTTGGCGCGGAAGGCTGGTGTGCTAGTACGGGGTGGGACGAGAGGGTTATGGTGTGGGATTGCCGGGCTATCATGCAATGAAATGACGACGTTCCATGCAGCATGCGCTCGACACTGAGATATATCTGTTCTCCATTCCCTACAAAAGTAACAATGCTCAGCGAGATACATCGCGAGTCATAATGCCGACCACCAACTCAACGAGACAACAAGCAAAAGACAGGGTATCATCCCATAGCTACACCCAGACACCGAAATGCAAATCCCACATGCGCCGATCAAATGCCGAAGCTCACAAACGCCTCTATGCTCCTTCCCTCTATCATTCGCTTTCATGACCTTCCTGTAGATCGCCGAGGTTCAGAACATCGTCAAGCGCATCGTCCATCTCCTGCATGTCTTGTACGCTACCTCCTTGCCAAAGCATGCCCACTTCATCGTCGATCTGAATCGGGTCGCCAGAGTCAACTTGAAGACCGTCCTAAAGGTCTCCAAGGTTCAGAATATCGTCAAGCGCATCGTCCATCTCTTGCATATCCTGTACGCTGCCTCCTTGCCAATGCATACCCACTTCATCATCAATCTGCATCGGATCACCAAAGTCAATTGTCCAAGTCTCGCCGTTGAGGTCGTGCTTAGTCCCATTTGTAATGCCATTGATACCATTCGTGAGAGTACCATTCGTAAGCGGTTTCGCGGGCGCATTGTAGATATCCTCGATGCCGTGCGTATCCAGAAACCTCGAGTTCATTATCGATCCCGCAATCAGTGGTGTTTGTCCGAGGTACGAGTCTCCGAGTTCCAGCGCGAGTCTCAAGTCCTCCATACACAGGAGTTTCCGCTTTCGTCGCTCTTCTGCTTCGACGGGGAGTTCGCCGCCGATGCCTCGGGCCAGCTCGCCGCGGTCTACTAGTCTTTCTTCTCGCGCGAGCTTCTTCTTGAACTCACCTGTGCGCACGTATCCAGGGCCGTTGCTGCTCACCTTGCCTAGTAAGTTTGCCAGTGCTTCTTTTATGTATGTCTCGGTAGCGATGTTGAGGTAGTCTGGGCAATCGGACGTATGGCCCTGAGGCAGCCCGAACTCGTAGCATATTGGTAGGAGGCGGTAGGATATCGTCGTTGCAGTGGGGAATTCGTGCGTCTCGGCGTAGAGGGCCGAGGTATACCGTTTCCGAATCTCAAGTTCCCAGTCTGAGACAAAGTTGTTAGCATCTCAAGACGTAAAGGAAGGGTATAGCAAATGTCATGCACGTACTCGTCTTTCCAAATCCACCGCCCTGGTTGCTGCTCGGCCCAACATCGAGCTGCTTCGCCCGTCTCGCATCAACATACTCCTGCACCGGCCCAGCAGCACCCGCGCCCAAGCCCTCGAGCCCCGTACTCAGCGGGCTCTCGCCTGCCGGTATACCCTTCAGCCTCTTTCTCTCCCTGCGACTCAATTGCATAACCTCATGCTTTAGTCTCTTCTCGCTCTCGTCCCCTGTCCCCTTGACCGTCCCGCTAGTCGGCTTATCGCTACTCGACACCCAACTGGCAATGCCTGCTTCGGGCGGGTCGCGCCATATGTTAGCGTATATAGCCGTGAAGAGTGCATTGTGCGCGTGTTCGAGGGCGGGTGTGGTGAGGATCTTGGACAGCTTGTGGGACAGCTCCTCCTGGTTGAGGTTGCCGAGGAGAAAGAAGGAGAGGGCTTTCTTGTAGATGGTCCAGTCTGCATCGCTTATGGAGCCTTTGACTGCGGCGTACAGGGGCTCGACGTCGACACGGGGGGCGCGCGGCGCGTTGGGCTTCTTGGTGAGGTCGGTCTGGAGAGATGCGAGGCTGGGCAGGGTGCCCGACGAGAGCGTCGGCGTGGTGGAGACGTTCATGTCATTGGGCCGTATGGTGCCTGCCATGATGGCGGTGGAAGCGCGCCGTGGTGGCGCTCAATGCGTCGTGATGTGCGCGTTGCGAGGTGGTCGCGCGTTGGACAGATGCGCGTGCGGGCTGTGGAGAAGGCTGAGGGCGGCGGGAGAGCGACACCGGGGTCTGCGCGACGCTTCAGGAGTGCCAGCGGGGTCGCACGCGGATGCAATAATCAGCCCCGATGACGGGCAAGTTTGGCAGGCGTTGTGCGGGGCCTACGCTGATGGACAAGCATGCAGTCGTGGAGAGCGTGAGGTCAGAGCTCGGGGGTTTGCGGAGTTGATGCTGGGGCAGCCTAACAACTTCCACGAGCCCCATGAAACCTCCACCACATGCACCCTTCCTTTCGGTCCCAGAACATCCAATGTAAATCTCATTCGCTATGCACTTATATACTAACATGATTCGTTTTCACATGCGCTCCCGTCCCAATGCTAGTGCAGTCGCTTTTATGCCATGTACACCGTCCCAGCCATTGTACGGTATCGCTAGTTTTCACCAAACACATCCCCCAACTCCACTTTTCCGACGCTCCAAATCTCTCGCTCATCTTCCATCTCGTCGCTCGACAAGCCGAGACCGCCTGCTCCACCTTCGGCCTCCTTCCTCTCTCTGGCTTGCCCAGCCAGCCTCATGGCAACCCTCTTGAAGTAGTCGCCCATGCTGCGCTGTTGACCAGCAGAGAGGCTCTTGCCAGGTCCAGCCATGTACTTGTCGAACACGGCCGTCTCTTCGTCCACCACCGAGAAGATGGCAAGGAACGCCGCTTCAGCCGACAGCTTGACTGGAATCACCGGATCGCGCACCGATGCGAAGACCACCGGTATGAGGAGCGGGATATGCGGACGGATCAATTCGTTGTGCTCTCGAGCGACTGTACGAAGCACCACAAGCGCCAACCGCCTCGTGTCGACGGGATGGCCGGGCTCGACTACTGGCGCAAGGGCCTCGAAAATTGGCTTGGTGTGGTCGAAGCTCTTGCTGCTCTTCTCCGATAGAAGGTATTTGCCAGCGGCGAGGATCGAGTTATCCGAGATGAACGGTTGTGAATGTCCAACACCCTGGCAGATAACATTCACAGTCTCGTCTGCAAACGATTCTGTCAGAGCCTCGGGAGCATCTAGTAGAATGGCATTGAGCGCCAGTACAGAAGATTTGTTGTAGTGGGTCGTAAGCACGCGAGCCTTGAGAAGACTGGACGCGACATCTTCTGGAAGGCAGCTGATGAGGGCCCCCAGAAGTCGAGCGTTTGTAATCGCCATTGCATCTACCCCATATTAGTCACACTAAGCAGGTCAGAATCAGTCTAAACTTACCATTAGAATCATCGCTCTCGTTGTCGATGAGACCTAGGATGGCGTTCCTGCTTGCTTCGCTCATGTTCTTGCCTGCCTTGCTTACGACCTCAAACAAGGCCTTCAGCATAGCCGTCTTGACGTTTTCGTCGCTCGTCTTGGATCCGGTCACCAACTCCGCGATGAGTGGGTCCACCCTTGGTGTAAGCTTGATCAATGTACCAAGAGCCTTGGCTGCTCGCGCTCGCAGTACATCTGAGGATGTATCGGCAAGCGACTTGGCGAACGTGCGCTGGAGCTGGGGCAAGAAGGGCTTGAGGAAGGTCGGGATCTTCTCTAGCAGGTTGTTGAGTGTGAGCAGAATAGCTGCCTTCACCTCGACAGAACGCTCTGTGACCACACGGATGAGGGGTCCTGTGATCTGAGTAACAAATGGCTGGAGTGACTTCGCGCTGG